TTTTCTTTTTTCTTTTTTCTTTTTTCTTTTTTCTTTTCTTCTCTTTTTTTTTCCTTTTTCTTTCTCCCTTATCCGATTTCCTCCATTACTGATGTCTTCTCCAGTTTCGTCACCAATTTCACTTGACAAAACTCATGAATTCCAATTACTAAGAATATTTTTATAGATCATATGTTTGTCAATTTTTTAATTTTTACTGAACATATATTTAGTTCTAAAAAATTTAAAAGTAAGATTGAAATAATATTTATGTAACAAAAAATCCGAAAATTCCAACAAAACCGAACAATCCAAACTGATATAATTGATTTGGTTTTGAAAAAAACTGAATCAACTCGTTCCATGAACACCCCTAATTTACATAGTTAATAAAAAAATAAAAAATGTCCAGCTAAAAAAAGATGAAAAAAGACTAACAACTCAAATTTATAACACTACAACTTGAACTCTAAGCTTTTAATCATTAAATTATCTTTCTGGAAACAATTTAAATATTTTGGTCTTTTGAATATTGTTGAAGGTTGAGATGTTTATATTATTTTAAAGTTTAAACCATAATTTTTGGAACAATTTAATTTCATTTATTTAGAGGGCCAGTGAAATTGGAACTTGATTATCTTATGGAAGAATTTTCTTAGTAATTGAAATTCATGAGTTTTGTCAAGTGAAATTGGTGACGAAAATAGAGAGGACATTAGTAATGGAGGAAACGGATAAGGGTGAAAGAAAAAGGGGAAAAAAAAGAAAAAAAGAAAAAAGAAAGAAAAGTGAAAGGTAAAAGGAAAAAAAATACTAATAAAAGAAAATAGTGTTAGTAATACACTTTAATACAATTAACAAAAGAGCTAATTAGTTTGGGTGAATTCCGTTTCGAAAAGGGCATATATGGGCCAACTGTATAACTCTAAGGCTTATATGGACCAACTATATGACGGTAAGGGCATATTTAAGCTAAAGTATTAACGAAGGACAAATGTGCTCAATTTCGTATAGTACAAAGGCATATTTGGACCTTTGCCCCAAGGTCTATTGGATACCGGGAGTCTTTTCTGGTTTGATAAGAGATCTGTACGTCCTTCGCACAACTAATTTGTAATTGAAACGTAGATACAAAAACCAGCCAGCCACACCTGGACAACTGAGATTTAATATGAATGAATCCTGTGTACTCGAAAAGACCAACAAAAGCACGAGTAACATTCACTCGCTATTATGATAAAGATGAAGTAGCTAGAATTCCTCACAAAATTGTTAATCACAAGATATCTCAAATTAACGAACATCCAAATTCACATAAATGTGAAAACACCGATGATGACTACATATGCATTTCAAAACATTCTTACGACTGCATATTGATTGAGTTGCCCTAGCCAAAGGACTCGGTAGAGACACCATGACAAGTATTTCATTACGAGCAGGCATTCTTTCATATTAGGTAGTGGTTCAAATTCAAAATATAGGACAATATTGACAAGATCTTAAATTCTTCAATAACCGAGCAAAATCTTACATGTCTTTGACTCAGAAATGTCTTGAAAACGGAAGATGGATTTCCTTGCATGCTACTAAGCCAGTGAAAACGGAAGATGGATTCCCTTGCATGCTACTAAGCAAGTCGCACAGAATAAGGTACACACTTCACCATCAGCAATACTTCCAGTGAAACGCTAGAACACAGATTCACCCCCTCAAGAGTTGTTAACCAGTCACAACCAAACAATTTCAGCTGAGGAAAGAGGAACCTTTGAGACAGCAACAGCCTACCTGTAGCGACTTGATTCAGAGCGTCATATTAAATCCATTCTGTTAGCGCCACAAAGCTACTAAAAGGTCCCAGACCGATATTTCATTGGCACAAGAATGGTGGCAAAACACGGTCAGCAATATAAAACCCTGTAAGATTCAGTATCTATGAGCACCTAGTATTTTAAAGAAACATATAAAACTTGATGGTTCTAACTGGTTTGCAATTGATATGTTGAAAACAGATTAAACGGAAAGTCCCTCAAGCACATACGGAAAGATCCCAAGTCCAAAATTTAGAGAGAATGTTTACTTTTGAATCTTTATTTTCTTCTTCCTTTTTTTATTTATATGTTTGAATCTATAATTTCTTACCCTGTATATTGTTCCTTAGGCAGATCTTGCATATATGTTAATCAGAGATCTCGTATCTAGTCAGCATATCACAAATGCAAATCTCAAATCTGGCTTATTTTCAGTTTCAAATGTGAGGCCAATATAAAATGCCAATTTCACTTGGTGACTACAGTCAAGCATAAGCAGAAAGATCAAACAGAATCTAAAAAACATTGTGTGTGTGTGTGTGTGTGTGTGTGTGTGAGAGAGAGAGAGAGAGAGAGAGAGAGAGAGAG